AATTGCCATTTATTATTTAGAATTATTGACAATTAATTATTATAGTATTATTATTAAAATTGCTTTAATTCTATAAAGGAAATATTGTCATGGTAAAATTGAAATATAAACTAAAAGTTTTGTAAAGCTAGCAATGTTGTAAGGGATACCAATTTTTGTTTTAAAACAGTAGTTAAGAAAAGTTAAAGGTAAATACATTTTAGTATATGATTGGGTTTTGTTATAAGTTGGTGAAGCGTTACGCACACTTTATGTTCAGTTAGTGATTATAAAAAAAATAATAAAATAAAAAACTAAACTCAGTGGTGCAAACAGCCCTAATGGGTCAAGGCCTGCAGTGCCCTGAAATCTGATTTCTTGACCGTGGGCCCCGAGGTGCGTAAGCATGTACCCTGAACTAAGCACTGGAGGTCAGCTTGTCGCAGGACCTACAGTGCTTAGTCCGCGAACTTGATACTCATTTTATCGACCCAATGGATGGAAATCAAGGGATGAAAGGCTGAGATGACTTTGCTCAGCCCAGGGTTCGAACCCCGGACCTGTGGTGGTGCTGCTGTGTGATGTGCTAGCCACTGTGCCGCCATGACGCGGTTAGTGATTGTAATTTTGGTTAGTAGTAAGAAACGTGTTATAAAGTATTAAGAATGGCTTTCCTGGGTTAAACTAAAAAGGAAGATTTAAAAATCTTAGCTGAGGAACTTGGGGAGAAGGTACTTCCAGAATATAAAGTGATAGATTTAAAAAGGATAATTATAGAAAGTAAGGAGTATGAAGAGAATTTTGTAATGGAATAATTAAACACCATTAAGAATGAAAGAATCAAAAAAAAGAAGCATTAGAAGCAGCAGCAAAGAAAATGGTTTCAAACTTGAGAAGTTACAGATAGAAACAGCTAGTAAGAATGCAGAAGCAACGGTCAATTTGAGACAGGTTGATGGGAACATGAGATTACGTTATGAACTTCAGAAGTTAATACAAAAATTCGATCCAAAAGAGGGAGATATAAGTTGTTTAACTTTATTTGAAAGGCAGGTAAGTAGAGCTCATATAAAAGAAACAGACTGGATTTCATATCTCTTAAGCTTATTGCCTTATGAAATAGCACAATTAATAGCTTGTGAACTTGTCGATAAAGCTGAGGATTACAAGCATATAAAAGATCTTTTTCTGAAAAGATTTAAATTAAGTCCGGAAAAATTCCGTCAAAAATTTTTTCATCATCAGAAATCGCATGATAAAACATGGAAGGATTTTTCATTTGAAGTAGAGAGTTATTTTCGAAGAATGGATTACAAGTTTAAAAGTTACAACCTTTGAACAATTAAAGAATCTTATGATATCGGATCAAATAAAAAGTAGAGTATCGAGTGAAGTAAAACATCATTTTATAAACTGTTAGGCTAAAATCGTAGTTCCATCCAATTTAACCGATCGGTATCAAAAGGACAATACATATAATCCACAAAAATCATAAATTTGAAAGGAAATTCCGTTTAATACAAAACCGAAATTCATTTCAAAACCTAAATGCTCTGTCTGTGAAGAAGAGACACCTTTTGCAAGAGCCTGTCTGTCCCATCAGAAACAATATACCAAATCTTATACAGAAAAATCAGGAGGGTTAGTACAAACAACAAGTAAAGAAAATGATGTAGGATTACTTTCTGCCCGTATTTACTGTTCCAATGTCACCTTTGGCAGAAGTGAATGTTATCAAATTCGATAAATTAAACAGGGTAGAAATAAAATGTGGAAAGATAAGCTTTCAAGAAGTAGTCGACTCTGGTGCTTAAATAGCTGTGATTCGGACTGACTTGGTTCCTGAAGACTGTGACGATGGAGAGGGAAAAATTAAAATTATTTCTGCATTTGGGGAAGCTGAAACTGCAGCGTTAAGAGTGGTTCCTATGAAAATCAATGATGGCTATCATGACGAGGTACCGATAACTTGTGCAGTGTCTAAAAAATTAGTGAGTGATATGTAGCACCACACATCAAGCATTGTCTGAATATATAAAATTAAGTGAGACCAATGGAAGACATTCGATATAACACTGTTCAAGAAGTGACGTGTGAGGTATACTCTTAAAACAGGGAATTGTTTATAAAGTTGCAATGGGAAGATGAATCATTGAAAAATCTTTTTACTTTAACTGAGAATAATCAAAACTCATACACTTTAGAGGGCGAATTACTGTTGCATTCTGAAGTGATTTGTGGAGAAAGAGTGAAACAAGTAGTGTTACCCTTATGTAAACGAGAATACGTTTTTAAAATAGCACATGATGTTCCATTAGCAGGCCACTTAGATGAACAGGAGACGAAACAATGTCACAAATATTCGTTTTACTGGCCAACGATTAAAAGTGATGTAAAAAAATACTGTGAGAGCTGTAGACAGTGTCAACTACGAAGAACGATTACCTACAGAGATAGAATTCCTGTTCAGCCAATTGTAAGACCTGAGAACCCATTTGAAATATGGAGTGTAGACTGCATTGGTCCACTAGAACCACCTTTGTGTAGGAGACACGAATTTATTATTTGTGCTGTAGATTTGTGTACACGTTGGGCATAAGTTGTACCAGTACGAAACATACAAGCAAAAACGACTTGTGATGTTCTCATAAATATTTTTAGCCAAACAGGTTTTCCCAAAATTATCTGCACTGACCAAGGAACTAATTTTACCTCGCAGCTAACAAAAGCCTTTTTGGATGTTTTTGAGATAGCTCCCAGGTTTACTACGCCAGGTCATCCAGAAAGTGTGGGTGCAGTAGAATGATGGAATAGGACACTGAAGGAAATGTTGAATAAAAACATTCAAGTCCATAACCACGATTGGGATTTGCATCTTCCGTATTTGTTATTTGCGTATCGTGAAGTTCCTCACAGTACCACTGGTATTTCTCCATACCAAATGGTATATGGTTGTCTTCCAAGAGGACCTGTAACATGGATTAAGGACTTTTGGACTAGTAAGAGAGATATACCAATCACAGCTTCTCATACCATTAAATACTATTTAGATGATTTACAAGATAAACTATGAAGTTCTCACGCTATAGCATATGATAACAGAAATAAAAACCAGAGTAGGTATAATATGTGGTCACGTGAGAAAACATTCGAAGTTGGAGATCATCTGTTAGTTTTGATCCCATCATCGTCGCATAAACTGCTAAATACTTGGCAAGGGCCAAGCTTGTACCATTGTAGAGCTCACGAGACCACATTCTGCTTTAGTTCGCTTGGAAAATGGAAGTACAAGGGAATTCCACGTGAATAAATTATGTCCATATGTGTCAAGAGTGCAACATATAGGAATAATCTTTGAACAGGATAATGACTTTGAAAATATACACTATGATCCCACTGACCAAAATAAAAGGACATAGGAAGATATTCTAAGGTATATTCAAATTGTCACAGACGACTGGATAAATAACAGTGTCACGAACTCGGCAATACATTATGCAAGTTTGCAGATGTTTTTAGTAACAATCCTGTTAGTGTGAAAGTTGAAGAGCATTCTGTCAGAATAATTCCCCGGGTGCACTCCCAAAAAATTATGCCCATATTGAATCCCAGCTATACTTCAAGATCATACATTGACAAATTGATCAGTTGTTCAAGCTTTAATTGATAGAGCCTAGCGATAGCGATTGGGCTCACCCTGTGCTATGCATAGCAAAAAAAGATGGGGACGTGCGTTTATGCATGGATTTTAGATTGTGAAACAAATTTACTGTTCCAGACGCGTATCCAATGAAACATGCAACAGAACTACTCTACGAGATCGGGAAAGCGCAATACATCACTGTGTTAGTCTTGACGAAGTGATATTGGCAGATCCCATTGAGAGAAGAAGACAAGCATTTCACAGCATTTGTAACACACTCAAGCCATTCATTATCAATGGAACATACTACCATTTGGAATGAAAAATGCAGGAAGCACATTTCAAAAAGTGATGGAAAAAATTTTAAGCCCATATAAAAAGTACTGTCGTTTATATATCGACGATTTGGCAATTTTTTCCGAAGACTGGAAGGAGCATTTAAAACCTTACGAAGAGTAGGTCTTTCTGTAAATTTAGAAAAATGTGATTTTGGGAAAAGGGAAGTGAAATTTCTTGGTCATATTATAGGTTCTGGGAAACATTCACCAGATCCAGAAGGTGTGGAGGCTGTGAAGAAGATGCCTAGACCAACTACAAGAAAGGAAGTACGTGGCATTTTAGGACTTGCCAACTACTTTCATGATTACATTCCAGATTTTGCCACTTTTGTGTTACTTTTGACAAACTTGACAAGGAAGAGAGTACCCATTAAAAATTCCATGGGGTAATAAATTTAATAGACAAGAATTCTTCAACCCAAAACCACAGTGTTTTAAGGAATGGTAGCTGGAAGCTGTGAATTTTTTTTTTTTCCCTTACACCCTGCAAATGCTCTTATGCTGAGATATAGGTGCATTTCATGATCATTTTTGTACACTCATAAATAAGATAAAATAGCTTTTTTCTGAAAAAATATTACATACAGTTTGGCATCGCCCTGAGTCATGCCTAATAGAATTTTTATGGTACAAGTGTATGGAGTGTAAGTCATAGAAATTGCTGAAGCTATATGCAAAAAAGCCATCAGAAACTGTAAGCAAGAAATACATATATGTATAGAACTGTGCACTGTACATAAGAAATAAATGCAAAGAAATTGTATTTTTCTTTTTCCTGTCAATGTTTTTGTTATTTCTGTATTTGGGGGGGGGGCTTGGTGTTTTTTGTTTTTTCCCACTAAGTTGTGTGCTTGGCAATTTTCTTTCATGATAGCGCTGTGATGTAAAAGTGCTAATATAAGTTCTAGTTGTGTTAGTCTTTAATTGACATTTACTATCATTAATGCATTAATTATCATATTATTAATCATTAGAAAACATTATTAATTTTAAATGTATTTTATATGCTGTTTATAATGAAGAATTTTTCCTATGATTAGGAAACAATCTCAACAGGGGCTTTTTTTATGAAAACAACATGTCGTAAATGTCATGGGACTGGTATGTTTAATAGGTATCCATGCATATATTGTGCAGGTAAAGGATCTTCTGTTCAGCTAAAAAGCGTAGCCATTAATGTTCCTCCTGGTAAGTATATTTAAATGTTATATATGTTTGTAGATGTTATTACGGTTATTCCTTGTCTTTATAAATTTATTGTATGAGATTGTCTTTATAAATTTATTGTATGTTGAAAATATCATAAATCAAAAATATCATTTTATAGCATAAATCATAGTTTAGCCTGCATTGAGTATGCTCAGAAAACAAGCAAAATATTTACCATACATTCAGGCAAAATGATTTTAATACAAAACTTGTTTTATAGTGAAATGCTGAAAATATCATACAGTTTATTTAACATTGCATAGGAAGTCAAACACAGCTGGTTGCATGCATACTAACTTTTAACTTGCATATCTGAAAAGAGGTAAGATTTTCAGAATATTTAAAGAATTTAGTATAATTAGATGCCTAATGGTATGGATATTATATTAACAAGGTTAGCAACTTGCCTATCTTCTAGGAAGGCTAGAGAACAGCTGATAGAAGATAATAGGATCTTCATTATTTATTTATTTCAACTATAATGTTCTTCAGGAAGATAACAAATTTTGATACTATAATTTGCAAAAGAGAGAGCACCTTGTAACATTCCCTTAATAATTTAATAGTCAATAGCAATAAGTAGTAATAGTCTGAAGCAACGATATAGCAATAATAGTCTGAAGCACAAGATAAGGAAAAAGCCATTTTCTTACTTAAATTTATTAATATAATGCATTTAAAAAGTGAGTAAATCAATTAAATCATACCTAATACTGAAGTTCTCAAAAAAAAAAAAAAAAAGAGAGAGAGAGAAGGACATAAAGAAATTGTGGTAGTAAAGGATGGATACCTGCCACTTCTTTCTCGATATCAGGCGTTTTTGTTTCTGCAACTAGCTTTCAAATGTCTGAAGGCCCACTGCTTCCACTAAAATATTTCAGAACAGAACCAGATGAGTGTCTCTCAATCAAGATCTCACTAGGGATTTATTTGTTTTCATAAATGAGAAACTACTAGTCATGAAAATCGCATATGATGCAGATTTGTGGCTTTCTATGAACTACACAGGAAAGTATTTGTAAAATTTAGAGAGATCTACCTCACTGAATTTTTGCTTTAGAATTATTTCACACTAAATTTCTCCTAATTCCATCTGTAAATAGGCTAACACTTTCTCAAAGTTGATTGAGAAAATTCTTTTCTGAAGAGACCGTCTCAAGAATATTTAGCACTAGTGGTTGTATTTATGCCTCATTATTTCATGGAAGTATGTTTTTATTAATGTATTATATATTTCTTGTTATTTTCTCAGTGTACAGAAAATTGAGTCAAGAATTTTTTGTGAGTTTTGTATACTTGCACTATATTGATAAGATCATGGTTTGTACAGTCCTTAAAAGTACTTAGGTTTTTTTTAAATGATTTTTAGTTTTTAAAAGTCCTTAATTTTGGCCAAAATCAACAAAAGGCCTTTAATTTTTCTCATCTGTTATTTCTGTCTTCTTTTATTTTTATGACTGCCATTTTGAGTATGAATTAAAATTTTGAGAATATCTTTTGGCGATTTATTGACAAATAGGTATTTGGAAGGGTGAATGTTTGAATTCTTTACTACTACTTACTTTAAACATTGGATACTCAAATTCTAGCCACAAGGTGCTGCCTCAGTTTAAACATAAACATTTTGAAATTATTTCTTTTTTGCAAATGAAGAGTTCATAAAATATTTATTTATTTATTTTAATATGAGTTTTTATGCAGTGCAAAATTGGCAAACTTAAGTACATTTGGTGATTTCAAGATCAGTTGTATGCCATTTTTTTAAGAAGATTTGCAAATTTTTGTGATTTTTTTATTTAATAACATTGCTAAATATCATAAAAATAAAGGTAATGTATTAAAATTAAATTTCAATAACATTTTTATTTAAAAATTACGTTAAAATAAAACATTTTTAATTTCTCCTACCATATTTAAAGTGACATTACTTTCTATTTTTGTGACATCCAAATTCTGAAAAATAAACAAAATAATAAATATTACAAATATAAAACACAGTTTCTGAAACACTTCTTAGAAAAAATAAAATATTTTAATAAAAAGGTACTGTAATTATTTTTTAATTAATTTGATTTGTTGTCTTTTATAGTTTTTTTATGATAAGAGCTTCTTTTCCCATGCAGTTGCTTAGAATATTTAAACATGTATCAGCTTTCTCTAGAAACTTCACTTTAAACGCTCTGATTTTTAGCCCAAAGGGCTATTAATTTTGTGTTGAAAACTTTAAATGTCGGTTCACTTTTCAAATTGTTACCAACAAATATTACAACCCTGTATTAAAAGTTAAATAATGAAGAATCTGCCTAAATGTATGTATGGTTCTTGCATAGTGATAAAACGACGGTGCATAGAGCTATCAAATTTTGTATAATGTACGCCGCAAATTTGATTTTGTTTTTTATCTATTTCATATTTTGTATTAGCGAGTTTTTAATTAACAAACTGAATGATTTCAAAGTGAGCAATGGCAACACTGTATGGGGGGGGTCGACATTTTTATCTCCAGTGCGCAAGACTGTGTATCAGAAATTCTAAAGCTATGCTCATTTTAAAATTATTTTGTGATATTGGTGTTGAACTGAATTTTATGGTTAAGGGCAAGAAACATGATATTTAATAAATAAAGGTAACCCACAAAACGTTAAAAAAAAAAAAAAGCACCTTTGGGTGTAATGTAAAATCTGAAAACTTTCTGACTTTTTTTTTTTTTTTTAATTTCAAAAGTCTATTGGCTTTTTGCGGTTACTGAGTGTGTACGGATATTTTTACTTTCAGATTTTACACCTCTTACCTTGGAAAGTTTTGAAGGAATTAAAGCCAAGATTATAGAACTACAATTCGAGAAAAATGTGCTGAAAATGGTATTAAACACATAATGGATGTGCTTTGTTGGAAATTTGGGCAAATTTCTTATCTTTTGAAGAATTTTTGGAAAAACAGTGAAAACAAAATGATTTGAAGTTTCTCCTTTTGATACTTAGTCTTTCTCTTAACTCTTTATCTTCTTTTATCTTTCCTTTATTTTTTATCTTTCCTCTAGATGCAAGCATTGAAGAAAACAAAAAAAAAAAAAAAAAAAAAAACTGAAAAATGATGCTATTAAAAGGTTCATTTTATGTGTCTCAATGCACCATATGTATACAAGTACCTGCCGTAAATTCTAAATATTTTGGCATGCTTAGATTTTGTTGCTTGGTGCTTCACTAAATTCAGAAAGTTGTGCCACCCTGGATCTGGTACCAGTCCTGACCTTACATCATTTCATATTTATTCTCAATGTTCATATTATCAAAGAAATAAAATTAGTAGTTTTTTCTATGCATTCTAAGTATAAGCAGTTCTTTAGAATAATAGAAACCCTTAACTAAAACTGGAAATTGTAAAATGAAGAGGTGTGTCATGAAAGAAGAAATTGATTTTATAAAAGTGAGAAAATTATTTTTCAAGGGTATATTGTACAAATTAGGAGATGGAGCAGAACATTGATTTGTTTATTCAAGCAAATAAACTTAGAAGAGGTATACGAAAAAGAAGGAAAATTAGCTAAACTAGCTTGAAAATTTTCAAAAAAAAAAAAAAAAAAAAAAAGACACATAACTATTTTGCTATAAATCTTTTGTTGCTTTTAATGTATAATTATATCAGTTTAAAATCAACATCACAAATTATAACTGCTGTGAAATGTTCATAGTGCTTTTTTAATAGATGTTTTTTTGGATATAAAAGAAAAATTTTGTAATTGTAACCATGTAAATCGATTATAACTAAGGATAGCTTACCCTTAAAAGTTATCTCTACATATTGTGGATGTCAGATACAACACAAAAGTGTAAAAATTAACATAAAACTTTATTCCCTATAACTAATGAGCTCTAAAATAATACAACATCACCTCTGGTGTAAACAGCCAATCTGTTATGAATCATGCTGATTATTATTTTACTTATCAATTTAACTTATGTCAGACAAAGTCTGCATACACCTTTGTAATGAGCGAGTACATGAGGAAATGAGGAAAAGAAAGAATTAATATAAAGCTAACTATGAGTAAAATTTTAATAAGCAGTCACTTATCTTCTTTAAAATATCTGGGACTGTTATAAGTCTAAATGCATCAAGAAATTTTACTTAATACTTATTGCTAGATGAAGTTGATTTCATTCTTGAATTTGTTTTATAATTAAGTTAAATATTAAATTATGTTTAGTAATAGCATTCTACTGGCAGATTTATTTTATTTTTACAAATTACAAAAGTGTGAAGTTCATTGCTTTAGTTTATTCAGTTCCTACTTGCTGATAGGGTCCTTAAAAGTGCTTAATTTCCATATGCAGGCAAAGACTGCATCCTGGTTTTTTAACAACAAGGGAGAAGGGGAAAGCATTTCTTCTTCAACTGTAGGCCATGAAAACATACAATTTTATTTCCATCGCAATCTGTTCTTAGTTGTATTAGAACTATCGAACTATCTCATTTTTATCAGTTCATCTCAAGGAAAGGCTGTGTCAATTTATGTAAAAAATTATTTTATCTTATTTTTAGGAAGAGAATAATCTTAATCTACAAAAGAGAATTTGACTGATTTCATTTGTTGCTTTTGAGTTATTCAGAGCTTTCCTGAATAATTTTTCTAAATATGGCATTCACTCTTACATTTCTCTCTGTTTTAACAAAATAAGTATTTTTATTGTCACATGTCATATTCATATCAAATTATCAGAAGTGTATGTCTTTACAGAAATCTGTCTTTTTTTATTTCTGAATTCTTATTCACTATTAACTACTACAGTAACAGTAGGTTTCCCCTGCGTCTGTATTGTCTTTTATTGCAAAAATAATTAAAGAAATACAGCTTGTATTTATGCTGGTAAAGCCATTCTTTTGCACTTCAGAATTTTGAAATGTTTAAATTTTAATACAGAGAGTGGTTATAATTGAAGTGATCCTATTCATGTCTATATAGAGCCCATTCTGATGGACATCCTTTGTTGAAACTTGGTATATATCG